AAAAGTATCTCTTGTTGCGATACAATAAAATGAACCGTTTCTGAGAAAAACGACTTCAAACATTTTCATGTGTTAACGCTGTTTTAAACTGATATTCACAGTTTCAACTCATCAATACAAAATTTATTCACTAACTACATTATTAAGTAACATTTTTATTTAGTCTATGCTCTTATAATAAGTTCTCGAAATGTTGTCCTTCCATTTCGACACACAAATTCATTCTTCTCAGAAAGTTGCGACGAACCCTGAAGAATATGCCCTCTTTTACTCTTATTATTGCAAAACTGTCAATAATTCGTTGCCTCAGCTCTTCCACGTTATTCACAGGCCTTCTGTATACCAGTGACTTAACATAGCCCCAAAGGAAAAAGTCGATCGGGTTCAAGTCGGGCGATCTGGCAACCCACTCTATGAATCCACCACGCCCTATCCACCTCTCAGGGAAAATTTCATTGAAGTGCTCTCTCACCGTTAAACGTAATGAGGCGGTGCACCATCATACAGTAGCCACATTGCACGTCGCACTTCAATAGGAACGTTTTCCAACAAAACTGGCAGATCATTTTGTAGAAAGTGTAGGTAAACCTCACCACCAAGCCTTCGAGGAAAGAAATGTGGCCCAACTAAATGATCTCCCACGATGCCAGCCCATACATTCACAGAAAATTTCTAAATGAGGATTCTCGTCACACCAATAATGTTTATTATGTAGATTTATTACACCATCATGCCCGAATCCAGCTTCATCCTTGAAAAGAATTGAATTGATGAAATTTCTGTTGCCATCATGGAGATTTATAATTGTGCTGCAAAAATTCAGTCGTGCAATCGGATCTCTAGGGAGTAGGGCTTGGACCTTTTGATAGTGGAATGGATGCAGGAGTTGTTTGTTATAATTATTATTCATTTTATCAGTTTTAATCACTATACTTATTACACACAAATAATCACAACAGAATAATTCACATAAATATTATCTGTCAAAAGTAGTTAAGGCAACATTAAGTTATAGTTTTCAAAGCCTCCTTTGTAAATCTTAAAAATCAGAAAATGTTTGAAGTCGTTTTTCTCAGAAACGGTTCATTTTATTGTATCGCAACAAGAGATCCTTTTTTAAATAATTTTTGATACTCTAACATGGTGCTGTTCAAATTTATAAAGCGGTGAAAACAAAAAATTTGTGGGCCATAGATCGAAGATTAAGGTCAGGTTAGGCTTTTTGGCACTGGAATATTTGCATCATATTTGGAACATAAATCTACAAGGGCACTAGTAATACATAGAAAAGACTTGGAAAAAATCAAAACACAAATAAAAAAGTTATGTAAGAAAAATTTAAAAAAATATTTTTTTTGACACCCTGTATCTCCGTTAATATTGAGTTTTCGAAAAATTGTTATAGGACTTTGTGACCCTAATTTTTTGTGAGGAATCACCTCCTGAAGTCTTGACGCATAATTTCCGGACACCCTGTATATACCTGCATTAAACAAGTAAATGTATCATTATTTCAACATTTAATTATTTAAC